GCCGCCCCGAGCGACACTGCCGCTGCCCGCACCGCCCCGCTGAGCCTAGAGACCCTCAGTCTGCCCCCGCCCCCCGCCCGCCCCCACCACCACCCTCCTTGCCCGCCGCCGCCGGGGAGATGGAGGGAGAGAAAAAGGGAGGGGGAGAGAGGGAGGGGGAGAGGGAAGCTGGGGGGTCTCTACCGCGCCGTCGGAGTCGGCGGCGATGCCCGCCCGTACTGTGCCGAAGGGGTTTGTCCCCGAGGGAGTGCGGCTGATGCCAACTACCCCTCCCCACGAAAGCACCCGGAGCTGGGGGGCGAGCGGGGTCTACGAGGTTTCCCTGGGCTCCGTACCGGCCCCGCATCGAAAGCCCACGGGACACCGCGTTCGGCGGTCGGTGTATAGCCGCTGCTGCCTGCGGCCCAGCGCTGCAGGGTGGGTCGAGATCAAAGTTTTACCAAACTTTAAGCTGCGAAGAGCTGCCCGGAGCAGGAGCTTCCCGGGACCAAGAGCTGCCCAGAGCAGCTGAGCGGAGTCAGGTTGCGGTCGCATCCCCGCGGGATCGCGCCGCGGAGCTGAGCGACCGCAGACGCACCTGCACTCCGGGGTCCCTGCCTCTCCCGCGTCCCACGCCAAGAGAGCTGCTTAAACGCAGACGATGGCTATAGAAAGCAAAGCGAAATTCCGGGCAAGTCAGGTTGCTTGAAACCTCTCCGATGTGTCTGATGCGGTGGGCTTGTAGTCTTCGGTATTTCCGGACGCGGAGAGATTTCTCGCTGAAACACGGATATTTTCCATGTGGCAGAGAGAACCTTGAATTCAAATATAATATACTGGTGGGGGGGGGGGGAAGGTATACATATATAGGCTAGGAAAAAATAAATTTACTGCAAGGGTTTATCTGCCTGGGGCACCGTCCGCGGGCTGGCAGGATGCTGCTTGGACCCGAACTCACTTCGTTGCCTCAAGATCTCCCCTGCTTTTCCAGGCACTTCTCCACTGTAACGGCAACACGAAATAAACCATTTAGAGAGGCTACGTAATTAGGAAATTAGATATAAAACTCGGGAACTATTTCGTTGGAGAGAATAAAAGGCACGGCGTATGCTATGAAGGTATTTGCGTGATGTTACATACTAGTCTCTTCTTATTACTTTTCTACTTCTAAGGGGAAGTGCGATTCAGAGCAATCTTTCTCCCCACGGATGTGTGCGGGGTGTGAGAAGGGTGAGCGCCCAATCGGTTTACCGAACCGAGGCAGGGAGGTGAATCGGAGCAAATGCGGGAAACAGTCTAACTTCTCGCAGTGCCAGCGGGATCTACCTTTTTTTGCTGCACTGCACCCGGACATCCCTGGAGCTTGCAAGTGGCCTCCCGCCCGGGGCCTCTTGCACACTCGTGGGTCCCCGCTGAGAGCAGAAGAAGAAAGAAGCAGTGCTTCCGCGGACCCACGCACTCAACTATCACAAAATCACAAGAGGCGCGTCAAAGATGATGAACACCAGCCCTTGCGAATCCCTTCCCTCAAAACGAAGAAGCGAAGTGCAAATGCTGGCGAGGGGTAGAGGAAAACGTTCCTTCCCCACTAGTAGGAAAGGGTCCTGTGGGGCGCCTCCGTCACTGCCGCCAGCCGGGCGGCTGCCTGCTCCCGGGCCATGGTGCCGTGGCGAGGCGGAGGCCGGGGGGCACCTCTCTCGCTTGGCTACACGCCGGGCGTTTACGCTGAAATACTCGTTTGATATAGTGCTGTAATCCTTTTCTTATATTTGATGGGAATGGTTTCCATGTTTTAGTATTTGACAACATCTCCCCGTAGGGCCAGATTCGTATTTATGTTAGCAAAACGTTCCCTGCCTGAAAGTCCATTGTAACCCAACACCTGACAACCCCCGTTCCCATTTCTGCTCGACGAAAAGGTTTATTCAAGCACATAATGGGATCCCAGCAGAAAGCTTTTAAGACGAAGGAACGATAGTAAACTGCACCACATGAACTCCGTTTCCAGGGCTATTAAGCTTTTAATTGGAAAATAGCAGAGGAAATTTCAAGGTGACTATGAGGTGTTAGCAGTTAGCGCCCAGACGAATAGACTGAAAGAGAATGAATGCGCGAAGCATAAGCTGCAAATAACATTTAGCGGAATTTGGCCCTGGCTGGGCCAAAGTGCCAAGGAAACGCCACGGACCGGGCAGAACGAGAGGTTGGCTGGAAACTCAAAACTGGCCTGAATCCGCTGGTGATTCGCGACTTTTCGATGCAGAGCCGTCCAGAGGACACGGCGTCGCCTCCCAGCCGCTGGAACCCGCGGGGAGCTTTGTCTCAGCCGGGCGGACACCTGAGGCCGCCGGGGCTGCCCGCCGGGATGCCCCGCGGTTCCCAGGGTATCGCTGGCGGGGGTCGGGCCGGAGGGGAGTGTTCACTGGTGTTTGCACAGCTCTAAAGTAAGCGTTTGGGGCGGGGGTTTCGCAGGAAGCTGGTTACCGTTGCGCGAGTGCGAACGGCAGGATTCGTTTCACCTCGCCCAGACTGCTTTTAGGTATTGCCCGCCTTATAGGGAAAGGACGGAGGATTAAACTATCCAAGATTCTCCACTCGGAGAGTGACTCTGGGTGTTTCTGACCGTCTGTACTGTCAAACAGTAATGAGGAAGAGGAGTACTATACAAGCCGTGCTGGTAGGCGTCGCGCTGGACCGGGGAGAAACTTTCACGGCAGACTTCGAGGAAAATGCGAATTCCGCACCGGGTCACGCTAACTAGCAATCGAAGCTCCCCGGTAAGCGGCGAGGAACGAGCATTTTGAGAGGAATAGCATTAATAAAGGTCACTGATTACCAAACAGCTCGGGAAACATACTTGGAAAGAGGACGACTGCCCATGCAGTGAAAAAGAAAA